GTGGCTAAAAGTCAAAAGAAAAACATTAGAAACCCCAAGATGAACACAGCGATTTCTTTTTCCTGCACCACGCTGCCCACAGTGACGATCGGGTATTATCAACAGAATAAATACATACAATCAGGAGAGAACATATTCCCTGGAAAAGTATAAGAGGGATGTAGTACCACACAGTATCACGCTGTCTCACGTGTGTGTCGTGTCGTAAGCCAAATTTCTGAGCGAAAAATGTGAGTAGCATCTAGGATGATATACTAATCTAATTTGGTTCACCAGATAGACCAAAATCTGCACTCAGAGGAGCTTCATAGCAGCAATTCTTAAAATAATATAAGTGGACTAGAAAACAAATACCAGGGAAGGGGTCCAAGTCAAGCTCTGGAACTGGAGTTTAGGGAACTGAATAGTTCCAGACAGTAATCGGGAAGTCTTCCCGAGGTTCGAGCTGTCATATAGGTAAACTTATAGATAAACTCTTTACTATGAGTGAACTCACATTTCAGTATCGCTAATCCTAATCTGAATCGTATTCACACCGTTCACAGGGTTGATGAAGAATATCATATGATCGCCTCGTTCAACAACACTGGTTGGCTCTAACGGTCGTCCATTGTGCAATGGCGCTTGGCCAAGTCGCAATCCACCCCAGCACCGTGTCTGCCACTACAAAGACAACCTTTGTTGGCAATTACTCATCCGTTGACGCTACTATGAAGAAGCGGGGAGGCTCACAACGCCTAATGTGACAAATTAATAAAACTAACAACTAAAAACATACAATGCCTCCTTCTGGTTTCACGCTACACACGTATAAAAATAACACATGAGCATATTGACCGTTGTCTGGAAGTGGCCCATTTGTGTGAGAGAACTGAAAAAATGATGGATGAGAGAGACAAAATGGAGTAGTTGATAACTTTGCTGTGTTCTATCATATTACAAATCTGCTACTCTCGATGAACTAAAAAAATTGATGGATCAAGCGAAAATTGATGCGCTATCTTAACAACACGCACATACAAATCAACTGGATTCACTAACATTGTCAGAGTAAGGCTGTGGATTGGACAGTAAGGTGCTATTCGCAAATGCTTGTTCTACAACAATGAAAAAAGAACTAAAAGAACACCTACAACTTCACAACAAAGCTGCCAAAGTTTGAGCTGACAACGGCAGGTAGCTACTGTTTCGAACAAGTTTGTAGCCTATTAAAAAGACTCACGTTAAACGTAAAATTTGGCCCATCCGCAAACGGGGCGAGAAAACACGGCGACGCTGTTCGTACTTCTGTTAGTAACCTGGATGAGAGAGACAAAATGGAGTAGTTGATAACTTTGCTGTGTTCTATCATATTACAAATCTGCTACTCTCGATGAACTAAAAAAATCGATGGATCAAGCGAAAATTGATGCGCTATCTTAACAAACGCACATACACATAACTGGATTCACTAACATTGTCAGAGTAAGGCTGTGGATTGGCAGGTAGGTGTATTCGCAATGCTAGATGTTCTACACAATTGAGAGGTGAATCTCAGTTTGGGGGGCCAATATATATTCTTTTTACATATCTTATCAAGTGTGACTAATCTTGATAGGGGCGGAGTGCGGGAAAGCCACATTCTTATCAACATTCAGAGCACAGGCTCTGTGTGTGCGATTAGATAGGATACCACTCGCACTAATTCGGCCAACCAGTCGTCAAATTCCTCCTTTGACTTCGCCTTCAGCTCAGGCCACGTGGTGAACATCGTGAAAGTGCGAAGTGTCAGCAGGGCAGCAGCCATTTCCGCTATAGAATGGTAGGCAAGGGTAACAGTCAAATGAATGTGTGACGTAGCAATCGTAGGACACCGTCTCAGTACGCTGATTACGTTTGATAAGATATGAGTGCCTTCCCCTATGCTGTGATTAGATATGAGGGCCTTTCCGCAACTCCGCTCTGATTAGATAGTCACTTTGATAAGATATGTAGATAAGATATATGAGTGGCCCCCCCCAACTGGAGAAAAAGTTTCACACAATGAAAAAAGAACTAAAAGAACACCTACAACTTCACAACAAAGCTGCCAAAGTTTGAGCTGACAACGGCAGGTAGCTACTGTTCCGAACAAGTTCGTAGCCTATTAAAAAGACTCACGTTAAACGTAAAATTTGGCCCATCCGCAAACGGGGCGAGAAAACACGGCGACGCTGTTCGTACTTCTGTTAGTAACCTGCAATTGAGCTGTTTTTTTTTTCCTGGAGCTACAGTGAAAGAGTTACGTTACTTCAATACCGGTAGATTACCTGGACCCTAACGTGAAGGGTAGCCAAAAGGAAGATCATCACAAAAGGCTTACCTGTATACTTTCCTACGAGCTCTCTGCAGTTGACTCGAGATTATTCTTGAGTGCTTAGAAAGCACCTCGTAAGCACGGCGCTTTCGAAGGTTTTCCGGTTTTCTAAAAGCACAACCTTCGATGGGTAAAAATTTTTTCACAAATTGTCGAACGCGTTCAGGTGCGAAATGACTGGTTTGACTTAGGACAGCGAACATAAGGTTAAGGAGCGGACTGGATAATCATGAAAGCACACCTGTCCTTTGTCAACAGCATCATGTAATGGAATCTTGCCAATACTGTCGCGACCACATAGTAAAGATGGCGCGATATTGCAGAGCACTGTCGCTATATCGTCACCCGCATGACGTCCATCACATTTTGTTGAACGACATAACTGAATGGTAATCCATTGAAAGATCTCTTATGTGAGAGATACATAAATCGTGTTGAAAAAGGCAGAAATTCAACTTTGTAAAATTTTTAAGAGCAAATTCTCTGGCAGCTGAGTACTGACGGCAATTTTTTTCATGCGTGGCTCATGCTACATGAGGAACTCAGAGTAGAGTGAATAATGAAGAAGAGAAAATGGAGAAAGGTAATCCAAAACAACAAACTAATGAAAAGATTGCAGATCTAATAGGAAATCGAGTAAGCAAAAAACTGAATGAACAAAGAAGTCGTAAAAATGATATTAATTTATGCTTACCAGATGGAGAAGATTTGCACCATATGGATTCGTCCACAGCGCCAAACGAGGTGCCGTCAGCACATTGTTCACCATTGCTTTTCGAACACGCATGAAGTTACCAGACAAAATTGCATCATTGAATTGCTGAAAAATCACGTTCACAATAACTCAAAATAAAACAGTAAACCACGCAGAAAATTCAGCAAACCGAACTAAAACTAAAGCAAATAGAACGTTGGCAAAAACATTAGTTCAGGAACTGCTACAAATAGAACTACACCGTACATCTTGAGAGTAAGGATGTCTTTCTTCGTCGCCATAATACTTGATCTCCAGTTCACGCAGCATGTTATTAAGTACTTGTGCCGTTAGTGGTTCGTTGATGGATATCGGACCTGGTAGAAGGTGCAGAGCTCGTCTTCGACCCTGAAATAACAGAAGCTAATGAGATGCTGATGAAACATCGGAGTTACGATAATTTAAAGGAGGAATTGGACGGATTAAAAGGATAAAGCATTTCGCATTCCACTTCCATTTCTATATTCATAGTGGCGCTTGGAATGCGATGTGGCCTATACAATGACTTGCGGGGGCCAGCCGATGTTGTCAGTGTTTTTCCTCCCAGACAAGTCTGGTACCAATTAACCGACCCCGGAGGGATGGAAGGCTTGGTTGGCCCGGGCGACTCACGACCCAGGATTTGATCCCCGGACCGCTCGCGTGGTAAGCGTGCCACTTGCCACTACACCACTTCCGCCCTGAGGCGGAATTGCGATTAGAAAAAGAGCCCATTAGAAATCAAGGTAGAGCGGTCAGTGGTGCAGATAAAGAAAATAATCATGACAACACAGCGAGATCCCAAGAAATGGCCGTTTCCTAAGTTCCTTCTTCCTTCTATCTCTTCTTCTTTCCATTTCTAGTAATGTTCCGCGGTTAATGACAGCACTTATCGGTGCATGCTTTCGCAACCTATACGCTTCTTCGCTGAAAGGCAAATATTAAAGAGGATGTGGCTGAAGCCGGCGCTGAACGCCATTGCTAAACCGCTGGGGACATATCTTTCGCTGCGAACTGCGTGTAGGTCCGCCACCGCCGCCCTGTGATCCGACTCAGATTTTCGGGTAACAAAATGACCCCTATGCAGTATGCAACCCTTTCTGACACAGAAAGAACTGCCATATTCTAATATAAACAAAGACCTCCCAAACCACCAACACTACTGACCATAACTGGCGCCGGTTTCGAGGTTGACTCGGAGTTTTGCATCGATGCTGGTGACGTTTTCGGCTTGCCTTCTGTGGCATTATCTTCTGAGACAGGTGCGGCTTTACTCGCCGACTGAGATGATGGCTGATCCACCTCCATTTCAGTTTCCTGACTTGATGACTTCTCAGGCTGAACAGCATCCTTCCCTTGTGACGGTGGCGGAGAGATTACAGTATCCAACGAAGATTTCTTCTCTCTTTTCTTCTTCTCTTTTGGTGCCTTCTCAGATGAAGAGCGCTTTTCCTTCTTTGCAGGTTTGTCGGCTTCTAAACAACTATTTGTGAGAACAATGCTCGCAGTCAAGACATCTATGAAAAGGTGCAGAAGCTTAGAGTTATTTAATGGAAAAAAGATCAAAGAATAGTAGATTCTGAACATACTTTTCAAAGTAAGCCCCTTCAGCACAACTCGGGAGGTTTGTCAATGGTGACGGTGAGCAGCCTGAAAATATTTCAAGAGCTCTCAGAAAAAAAAAAGGACATTCACACTAAATAATCGGTAAGAAAAATAACGCGATCTCAGAAAGTCTATTGTTACCATCACAACCAGAGGTAGGTAAATTACCTGATTTTCAGCCACACTAGATGAAGCGATAACCACGGTTTCAACTGCAGTCTCAGATTCCTTCTGAATATAGGATTATATAACTTCGCATACTTCTAAGGCTGTTTTTTTTTCAATAGTTTTCTTTTTTCAGTTGAATAGTTTTAGTTTACTTTCCTGCAGTACACTGGGTTCAGCATTGATAAATCATTTTTGAGCCTACTATCTCTTTATTTTCTAAATATTCCTTGTGACTTCCTATGAGGTGTTGTTTTTTTTCCTACTGGCCCCCTTTTTTTTAGCTGGACTGATATTTCGGCTGATTTTCACGTTGCCAAATGGCCTTCAGGCCTCTGCTTCCTATGGCGTGCGACTGTAGGCCGTCTCATATACGCATGATTAAGTATGATGAAAATCATCATTTTTTTCATCGTAGAATACCTTATCAACACAGTCAACTACCACGTAAGCACCACTGGGCCAGCGGTAGGGTCTGTGTTTAGGTTAATGAGGTGCGGCGTGCATCCGCCCTACATGCTGCGGCCTCAGGCTTGGTTATCTTATTGGCAGTTAACTCTGTTAAGACAATGGGGCCTACTATTATGGATGCTTTTTGTGATTCCTTTTCGGGCAAAATCATGTCCTATCTTCGGTCCCTGTCCATAAAATCGATCTGCTGGATTACACTTCCGCCACCTCATTAGGAGGTCACGACTTACTCATACACCAGCTGTCGGCTCTTCTAGTACTAATGGTGTTCCCCAGTGTAGCTCTCCTATTGTTCTATTGTTGTTATGTGATGTTCCTTTCTTTACTGTGCACACCTTTGAGTGTATCCAAATAAATAAATAAATAAATAAATAAATAAATAAATAAATAAATAAATAAATACTGATACAATATCTCCAAGCTCTACAGTAAAGAGTTCAAAACTTTCATTACGAAGTCGAACAAAACCAAAAGCCCAAAAAGCACGACCAACGTGGCTAGGTACTGAAAACTGCCGGATGATTTGAAAACCAGATGGACTTCAGGATTTTAAGGGGACTTTTAATAAAACTTCGGAATATCGCACTATCTAGTGAAGTACTTTGTTGTTGTTGTTCAAGATTCAGAACTTTCGCGGCCCAGGTACCACGAGAGTGAGAAGCCCAAAAACTGATATACATTTAAAAACTAAACGTAAACACAACGAGGATACCAAAGTCAAAAGGAAAAAAGCACTCTGCGTTTTCTTGTGGACTATTATAGATTGAAAACTAAATACTTAGATAACCTTTCGTTCAGCGGCTTTCCGTTTTGTGGCCCTTTGAGGTGGCGCTTTTCCTTTCCTTTGACGTCCTTTTGGTGCTGGTTGAGGAGTAGGGCTCGCTGAACCACGTGAAGTGTCCTGGAGGAAAGAGACGAGGTCATCACGAAAAGAATGAAGTATAAAACAAAAGAATTTCTAGATACGTGTACAAGAAAACGAAGAGGAAAGTCCTACATCGGGCGTCAGCAATTTGGACGAGAGCGTTGGAGTATTGGATCTTGAAGCCTCTCGTGATGAACCTATTAGCGCTTTTGTCTGACTTCTGGTGACCTTCACCGACGGATCTGTCGTGGTAAGGAACTAAAAATAATAACTATTGCACAAAGCTTGAGGAGTATAAGCCCAGTGTGGAAATTGAAAAAATGCAGAGTATATTTTTCAGGGAACTCCACTACTGTCTTCATAAGGAAATACAGTTTCGCTTTTGAGAACAATTCTATGAAACCATAATGATTCTATTAACTGGTCCACTACCTTACCTTATCACCCTTTTCAAGCTGTTCAAATGATTTCTTTTCTCTGTTAGGAAAAAAAGATGACTTACTAATTCAGTAGCTGTATTCTTGTGAGTAGGATCAAAAAGTTTCTTCAATTCACTAGGCGCATCTGCCAATTCCGCTGCCGGTTTTCCGTAGAAAACATCATCGGCCTGAAGTTCTCGTGGCTTCAAACTGCTACTTTCCTAGAGGAACTATTCGCTTAGATTGAGATAGAAAATAGGCTTATCAATGGTAAGATCTAGAAGCTAATGACGTAATAATCACTTCTCTCGTAACTATTTCCGATACATATTCCCATCGAGGACCACGCTTTGTTCGCCTGGCTTTTCTCGCTTCTGAATGACCTTCATCAAGTTCTATAAAATACAGAAGGATCTACGTTGCAATCTTAGTAATCACCACCATAGAAAAAAATGATAAAATACATCATGCATAAATTTTTAAGGACTAATTGTGAGAGAATTATATTGTAATATGAGAATCTAGAGCTAAATAAATAAATTGCCATACGTAGTAAGTAAAAATTGACACTTTATATTGAAATGGAACGGAATGCCCAGAAAAAAAATATTATGGGAAAAACAGAAAAGAAGGGAAAAATGAAAGCCAAATGAAATATCTTGGAAAAATTTGGAAACTTACTGTCGGCCTTGAGAAGCTGCTCAACCTTTTCCTTATGTGCTTCTCGGAACTCCTCCAACAAGGCCTTACTTTCAGAACCTAAACATGATGAATAATTGCAGCCTTCTAATTCATGGGCCAAAATCTAGCTAACACAATTCAACAGAATCCGGTGGAGAAAACAAAAATCTGCAAAAATCTATCGAAAATACGTACACTTCTTACCGGTGAAACTCTCTTCAGGTTCCCACGTGTCTTCACTAGGTTTGCAGCCAACCCATCGAACACGGTATTTGAAAATACCGTTCTGTATTTTTATGTCCTCAATGCTCTCTACCTGCAAATAGAGAAATTCTGAATTTCTCTCCAACTACAAACATACTTTCAAAAGATGGAGAAGTTCAAGTTGATGTGAGTTGAATTCAAAGTCACAATTCCACTGCCTGGCACGACCCGCGGCCTTGCTCAGCGCCGCGAAGAAACTTAGAAAAATTCAGAAACTAAATGGAACAGTTGCGGGGCATAAGGCAGCCTTCGGTTTTACTACGAGTCTTCGAAGTAAAGCTGGATGGCTCCATTTTCTCGCAATTTCGTTTTTTCCCATTTTTTTTTCCGCGATGATTCAAATTTCATTCGATTCGAAACGAGGTAGGGTAAGTTTTGCGGGAGCACCGCCAGCATGCTCCTATAGTTCTCATGTCAAAAAAACCAAAGCACCAACAGCCGAGCCACGCGCGCCTTATAAGAGACAGGCCACACAAAAGCTCCTAACGATAACAAAGCCGCTTAGAATATGCGTCGAGCCATGCGGACAACCGCCACAACAAGAAACAATATCAGGGGTGTGTAAGTGAGCAGCTTTCCGCCTGGCAACACAGTCTATAAGCAAGCGAAGCGAGGTACTGTGGCCCAATGAAAAGCGAACGAGAAAAACTCGAGGGAGCACAACGCCCCGCCACGTCCCCGAAGCTCCTCTCCTTGTGGAGCGCGTAGTTTCACGTAGCTCAGTAAACCGTCGGCCTTAGTACCGAACGCTTCCAGCAGTAGGTCTAATTGTAAATGGAAATGACTGCTTGGCGCAACCCAAAGAGCAAGTTGATTAATGCGCCATGAGACCGCAGCTCTCCGGCAAGAAGTATGGCTCTCACCTCATCGCCCTCTGATTCTTCTCCCTCTTCGTCTTCCACTTCATCGTCTTCATCTTCCAAACCGGCATCGCCCATATGGACATTGCCTTCAAACGTAGAAGCCTGTGGCTGAAATAAAAGCACATTGACCTTCATAGAACCTACCCGTCATTTCATCTGCCTACGCCAACTGCCTTCCTCCGCTGTTCTATTAGAATGGTTGTCAAATCAACCCAGAATCAAGCACTCACACCTCATCTGCCCACACAACCAACACCCAAAAACACAGAAACTTATTGATGCCTACCAAAGGAAGCACAACAACAGAACTAAAAACAACAGACAGAAAAATCAGAACAACCAGCAACCAACTCCCTCGAAAGCAGCAAACTCGCGCACAAAACCTCCTCGATTATCGCATCTTCGGCAGGCCTCTAACTACTCTCAAAATCCATTGTGACCACCCTCGTAACTGAGCGCACCTTACGATCCCCAGCCGCGTAACTTCTTATGGGCTGATACCAAGAATAATGACAACCAACCTTCGAACCCCCACCCACATGCACCGAACACACGACTCACTTCTCCCCATCTACTACTCTCAAACTTTAGAACAGCCTCTCAATCGACAATCCATCCTACAATATCACTCACCACTTACGATTGTATCGCCATAATTATCTCCGGATTAGCGAGTGACTAGGCTCCCCACTAACACCCACCCAGGTTTTTTGACGCACAGCCCAAAACCACAAAAACACCAGCAACCCCGCTCTGAGACGTGAGCTCCTGATCACTGACGCTTATACTCCTCAAGAATCACCGCAGCATAATAAAAAACCACTGCAAATGCCGACCACTCGAAGTTCAACCTCAATTACTCACCGTACAACAACATCACACCACAAAAACAAAGCTCAAACAGGACAACCAGCAACCAACATACTCTTCATCTAGAACTACGCTCCCACCAAACCAGACGAAATCTGACATATCAAGACAACCCCCCCCACCCCACCAACCCCTCCCGCACGACTTCTCCGACCCCAACCGGCGAAACCGCCTCACAAGAACACTAACAAACCCCCCACGTCGCTCAGTAGTCAGGGCCTTAGAATCCATCAGACAACAGTTAAGCAAGCACACAAAACAACCCCCACAACCAGCAAATCACATCAAAACAAAACCCCCCAACCCCCACCCAAACCACCACAACCCACCACACACACACCACACACACACCACACACACACACCACACACACACAAAAACCACACAACACCACAACACACAAAAACAAACAAAAACAAAAAAAAAAAAAAAAAAAAAAAAAAAAAAAAAAAAAAAAAAAAAAAAAAAAAAAAAAAAAAAAAAAAAAAAAAAAAAAAAAAAAAAAAAAAAAAAAAAAAAAAAAAAAAAAAAAAAAAAAAAAAAAAAAAAAAAAAAAAAAAAAAAAAAAAAAAAAAAAAAAAAAAAAAAAAAAAAAAAAAAAAAAAAAAAAAAAAAAAAAAAAAAAAAAAAAAAAAAAAAAAAAAAAAAAAAAAAAAAAAAAAAAAAAAAAAAAAAAAAAAAAAAAAAAAAAAAAAAAAAAAAAAAAAAAAAAAAAAAAAAAAAAAAAAAAAAAAAAAAAAAAAAAAAAAAAAAAAAAAAAAAAAAAAAAAAAAAAAAAAAAAAAAAAAAAAAAAAAAAAAAAAAAAAGAAAAAAAATAATGTAATACTAAAAAAAAAACAAATAAAAGGAAGCAATAAAAAAGAAGAAAAAAAGAGAAAAAGAAAATAGTAATTGATATCGCGCCCCTTTTGCGGCTTGAAAGTGCGCGACAAGGGCGCTAGAAGCTCGTCCGACCCGCAATCCACTCCTTCGTTTCTATTCAGGGCATGATCGGGGGTTTTCTTTGCTTTTTCTTTTTCCAGATCACCTCCCACCTCTAGATTCATAACTAAACCCTGTTCCACACCCATTTTATCCCGGAGCTTGCCTTTAAGGTTACCGGACAAAGTGTCCTCAACGCATGAGTTCCCGACACTGATTTCAAAATGGGAAACCATTTTCGAGTTTGTGAACTACAGTGATGGAAGGGAGACAAGTGCGATACTTTTTATAGGCTCAGTTTCGTATGGGAGCTTCCATAGTCATTCGCCAGAGTGAAGACCGCACAGCATTACGTATGTAAGTATCGGTCACCCTGGCCGTATACCTTCTCCACAATGCTACAGTCTGTGACTTCCGCCAGTCCCTCGATTTCGGCAGAACGCGTTCATTTTTGACGGTCGATGGCATCAACGGTAGATCAGGGCGCCTACCGTATACATAGTTGTGGGGGGAGAGTATATCAAGGGGAAGTCTATTTTAAGATTTCGATTCAAAATGTGATTCTATGGTGTTTCGACGCTGATATACAGTCGATATCCGAAAGTTGGGGTGGGTGTGTCACCGGAAGTGACGTGCACTTGATAGAAGTGCGTGGATAAGCTGTTGCCAGCATGCTTTGCTGATATCCAGCGATGTATGTTGGAAGCAGCTTATCCACATAGCTTCTATCAAGTGCACGTCACTTCCGGTGACACGCCCACCCCAACTCCGATATCGAGTATACGAATGGTCTGCATTTGACCAACGAGTTAGGAAGGAGTCATTTCAATGCAGTGCACACAGCGTGAAAGGTATAAGCACAAGCCCCTACGAAGAACCCACCAATACGAACGGTGCCACTCGTTAGAACCTTGTTTTGATGTCGGTCAGACTTCGCTCTTGCAATCGTGCACA